CCTTTCTAAGTTACCTGAAGATGATTCAACGAAATGGCTCAAATATGTTTCTAAAATACAAGAGATTTTAAATTTCAACGAAGCATCAACACCAACAACTTTCGAATTACCCTTTGATACAAAAAAAATTAATAACAAAATTGACTTGAGTATTTATTCTACAGTTCATTGATGAACAAGTACGACCTGAATTAAACGTCAATAGAGAAATCTTATGCAAATAGCTGAATAAAATATTAAAAAAGTGCAGAATGTAAATAAAATGCCGTACGATTAAAGACGAAAGCCTCCTCAGTCTTATAATGTTAATGATTTGGTTGTAGTTAAAGGAACGTTTCATGGATATGGACCAAAGCTTTGCAACAAATTTCTTGGAAAATATAAAATCAAGCAAGTAAAGTCAAAGATGCCTACAATGTAGAAAAATGTGACAATTTTGATAGTCCTAACTATTGCGAGAACTTACGTCGAATACCTGAAACCATAGACACATTGATGAATGCTATATACACATATACCTCTAAATCGCTTTCATTAACCGCCGTAATCACTGTTACCAGGATCATCAGTCAAAGGAAAAAAATTAAAAGTTTCCCTATCAATTCATTTCACCATCACTGATTTATTCCCTAACCCCAGCTCAGGTAGAACAATTTTGACCGAACAGGTAGAACAAGCTGGGTTTAATTTAACCACTCTTGCGCTGTCAGGGATTTTTCAAATGCTTAAAATTTTGTGTGTGTATGTTATTAATTTTAGGTTTGGATATATTTCAACTCTCATGATGGATAAAATAAGGAAAATTTCATTGGTTGCTTGATGGACTAAATTCAAGCGCCGTCATAATCTCGTGATATTTCTATCATTTGTTACCTAACTATGTAAACAAGCCTTGTATTCGTTTGTTTAACGCTGCGTTTGTGAAATGTGTTAAACTACATAAGCTAATGTAATAAATTACATTTTACTATGTATACTACTTTATATTGGATAAGAATTGATTACTCAACTTTTTTATCCCTTGCGGTTTCAAAATAACATTTTAAGCCACAGTTTTAGATTGCTGTAGCATAAAGATTTTGAATCAATCTTCTATCAACAAAACAAAATAAAGGCCTCAGATTTATTTGGTTTACACACAGTTATTTTTTTGTAATTATGAAAGCATCCTAATTTATCTATGATTTTCTAATTTTTGTAAAATTGTTCTCTTTTTTTTTCTTTTAAAATTTAATTCAATAAGATTGCTTGAGGAATGCTAAGCTTTTTAATATTCCATAGTTTTAAAAATTACTTAAATTGTGAAGTAATATTTTTTGGCTTATACATAGTGGATGAATTTTCAAATTTGAATGAATAGTTTCTGCAAAAATACTTAAATATTTTTTTAAATTTTGCTTATTTGAAATATTATATTTTAATACCTTCAAAAAGGTTCTATTACATCTTAAGAATCATAATTAATATTTTTCGGAAATGATTTTCATATGAATAATTATTTGTGTATTAACTATATATGCTCTCATAATCTTACATTATTCTAATATATTTAGTGACATACTTCATGACTTTAATTCTTGAAAAGATATAATATCCAAAAACTTTATTAAGAATAATTATAGATCCATGTTAAAAATGATTTTTTACATAAGTAAACATTTGTGTATAATGCTGATAATATTTATCGAAAAATATATACCATTTCATGTGTGTACCTTTTATTATTTTTTTTTTCAGGATGCAAGAAAAATGTTGCTTGTTTGGAAATATTTTAGATTAATCTAAAATTTGAATACAACAAACGTAAGCCAAGTTTAACACTTGTTTTTGTTAAATAACACTATAACAGTATTTTAAAAGCAGTGTGGGCGAAATTTAAGATTTATGAGTGGCCAATTTGTTACATTTTTCATAGAGGAATACAGAGAATGATGACCGAGAAGATTATTATTTTTTTTATATTTTGCAACTGTAATGTAACTTAAACTACTTGTTTATTGACTGAGAAATTATACATTTTTTACTTACTTTTGTTCTCTCTCTCTCTGTATGTATATATATATATATATATATATATATATATATATATATATATATATATATATATTTAAGATATTAAGGACTTTCTGTTTTCAAAGAATTATTGTACTTAAGCTTTCCTACCAATAACACTGTATGGCGATAATTATAAATATAAAGAAACATATAAATATAAAGAAACATATATTATAAATATAAAGAAATATATATTATAAATATAAAGAAATATATATTATAAATATAAAGAAATATATGTAATAAATATAAAGAAATATATATTATAAATATAAAGAAATATATATTATAAATATAAAGAAATATATATTATAAATATAAAGAAATATATATTTTAAATAAAAAGAAATTATATATAGGGAATAACATGTTGGCAAACATAGCTTTTATTCAAGATTATTCTTCAACGTATTGAAGTAAATTTCTCTTGTGATTTACGAGAGAAGTAAGATATTTTAAAATATACTTTTCGTAAAGAACGTTGCTTTAATTTAAACACAAATTTAATGTGCATTTCAAAGCCAAATGTTGCAATAATTTGAATGTTTCGTTATGTATATTTAAATTTTATTCCATACCACGAACTCAAAGATACATTCACATAGAATAGATAATAAATTAATTCCTTTGTATTCGATACATGACACAAACACTAGATTTATACATAATTCATTAAATTTTACAAATACTGATAAATATTCACAATAGGATAAGGACAAGATATTATTAAACTCTTTTATTTATATTTATTACTCAATGGATTTTATAAGGTAATTCAGATTTTATACAATTGGACTTTAAAACTTAAGAAATAAATTTAAAAAAGTACATTAATAATATATTTTTTAAAAATATGCTTGAGTTGAGATGAATTATAAACTAAACCAAGGTTCTGATGTTAGAGGGAAAAAACATGAATCACTTTTTCACGGCAAGGCAACGTAACACATAGTTAAGCTGTATTCAAGGCTTTTAGAATGTAAATCTTTATATATATATTTTAATTATGCTGATTCTATTCCTAAGGTATTTCAATTAGTAATACAATTTTCAAAAGTAAAATTTCCTATATTTTTTATAAATCATATTGATTATCAATAATATAAATTTTGGCATGTGTCTGTCATTCACATAGTAACAAAATTTCGATTTCTGCCATTTATTTTATATTAAAACATAAGTAAAAATTGAATTTGATTTAAAAGTACTACTTTACATAAGAAAATAAAAATAAAAATTGGGAGATTCTTAATGCGAGAAAATTATTGACTTTTAAATAGTATATGGAGTTTATATGTTCAATATCTTTTTCAGGTAATGATTAATAAACTTCTTTAATGTAGTTGATTCCTTTTTCAACGAGGACCAACTAGCAACAGTTTGGCTGATATATACTTGCAATTTTATGAATCGAACTACGTGAACAACTCTTTTTTCCTTTTATACAGATACATAGGCGGACTAATAGTTTTTAGTAAATGAAGATATTATAAGCCGGACATTAGTTTTTATCCAAACTATTTAGTTTTATTACTTACAAATTCAAATACAAATGAGGCTGAATAACTAGATACGGAAGTAAAGACAATGAATTACCCCTTTATAGTAATTTATATTATAAAAAAGACGCATTTAAATTTAATGTAATTAAATTGCCTTACCGGAAGAGCAATATTTACATATCCTTATACAGGAACATTATTTTAAACTCTTTCATTGTAATAAATCGCTAATTACTCAAGATAACGACATATTCAAATATATTGAGAAACTCGTAGGAGATTATATAAAGTCTGATTATCCACTAGACTTTTTAAAAAAATACTTTTCTAATAATTTGAATGAATAGTCCATATTAATATTTATTTAAGATTTTACGTGTTGAGTTCGTAAGGAATTTTGGAGGATATTAAAATATGATTTCTGTTTCTTAAATTTGATATTTAAAAGGTTTTTTTTATATTGTAAAAATTTTCTTACTAAGATATTTAGTGTATAAATTGATTTAAATGAATTTTTGACATTCACTTCTTGAAAACAGAATTTATACTATAGTCATTCATTTTAAAGTCATTTTGTTACCAAAAAAGAACTGTGACATTTTGAAAATTGTAGTCTTAAACTTAAGAGCAATTAACATTCATGACTTTCATGGAATTTTAAAGATATTTCATTTAAGAAGAAAATCCAACTCACAACATTAGGATTATAAAGACATACAGTTAGTGGTATAGTCATAAATATATATTGAAGTCTTTACATAGTTTACACTTACAGACACATATTTTATTCACTGTATTCAAAATATTTTTTAACGGATAAAGTTCAGGTTTGTGTTCCTTTGGATTTTACTTCTTAAATATTTTCATTTTTGAAACTTTTTATTATTAAACTTAATTTAAATATTACTGATATTCATATTATATCTGGCAACAGTGCAAAATATTGAAGATCTTAATTTAAAAGATTCCTTAAACCTTTTGTGCACTGCGAATAGTAGTCATTTACATAAGTCACATGACCTTAAGATTTAGCTTCTACATTTGTAGCGAAAAGTCTTAGATCTTTTTACAAGCTTCGATTTCAGTAAATTTTTCTTTTGAGTTTTTTAAATCTTTGTCTAAAAAAAATTTTAATTGAAAAATTTTGGACTTAAATTTTTGTAATTAGGGCATATTGCCTTTCATTTTCTTGTTTCTTTTGTTTAACTTTTTGCAATTGGGAGTGATCCAAATTTTGCCCAACAATATACACTGGGCGATTTTGTTTAGTTTTTATTAACGTCGCATTAGGAGTAACACGAGGGCCATTGGTGACTGACCACGTAAGTTTCAACCTCGATCAAGCGATGAGGAAAACACCTAAACTGGCACCCTTCTCCTAACTTTCACACTACGCCAACGGGAGGACTTTGGGCCCCGACAGATTTAAAATGTATCAGCCCCAGCTACACGTCGGGTCTTAAGCGACCAAGCATCGAAACCTCGAATGAACGAAAAAGCGTCGGGCACAAATCCGAAACCATGACCACTAGGCTACCGCAGCCACGTACACTAGGAGATCTGAGGTACCATAGAACTTGTTTTACCCCACAATTCTGTCCCTAGACTGAATGTGGATGTTTTATTTTGATGGGTATCCAAGTTATTAATTTTATTTCAAATTTCATTTCAATTTATATTCATTTATTTGACTTATTTCTATAAATATTTTTCCCTTGTTGATTTTTGAATTTCATTTGTAATCTTATTATTTATTATTTGTTTCATATATATATATATATATATATATATATATATATATATATATATATACTCCTATTCAATACATTAGTGTAACATACACAGCTCAAAAAGTTATGGGAATAAGCAAACAACTTTAGAAAACTATGCCAGTTAGTCGTGCATGATCATAAAAATAGAGAGCACTCATGTGACTAAAGGCAATACCAAAAAGACGATGCAAAAAGTTGTGTTAATTCTTTGAAACGACGGAATAAACATGAAAAACTACATCAGGGTAATAATTTGATTACAAGTAAATGACAAAAATAAGTATTGCTTGAAAATTGTATTATACTTTCCTCAAGGTGTATACTTCCCTCATGCAGCTAAGACTGCTACACTCGTTTACGATGAGGTTTTCAATAAGAATTTGAGGAATACTCTTCCATTTCTGAAGAATTGTAACCTTGAAGTTCCGGACAGTAAAAGAGTGTCTTGGTCTTTTCAATATTCTTTTATATATATATTTTTTATTTATATATTTCAATATTCTTTTCAATATTTGTCCTAAACATGTTTGATCGGATTTAAGTCACTAGAACATGCTAACTTTGACTTTGATTGTAGTTTTTTAGCATCAAGCGTGTTCTCGATAAAATGAACAGTATGAGGTGTGGCATTATCATCCATTAAAAGGAAAAAAATCGTCAATGGATGCAGGTACGTTAAGACAGGAGATCTCAGTATATCGTCTACAAATCATTGGATCATCAAATGACCATATAGGTCAGTGCGTCCACCTATGCAAATTCCAAACCATACCATGAACCACTTCGCCTCTATTGTGATCCTTACTGAAGGAACGCGGAATTATTTCGAATTTTTTTTTCTCTCCATACCAAAACATGTAAGATGTCACAATCGAGACTGAATATGACTCTATAACCTTTGACTGTTTGGCGAATCAACAATTTTTGCCCTCCTATGACGAGCAGAGGTACGGTCGCTGAAAGTGAAAGCCGTTTCCCCCTTAGTGGCTTTTGAAAATGTCAACCATTTTCAAAGGTGATACGGATAGCTTGCTCCCTTTTAATAGATAGTTTTTTTAAGAATTATTTAAGGCTTATGAATGTAATATTTACACCAATTGTAACAAACACTTTTAATCAATTCAGTGAATGATAAATATTACAAATATTAGTTTCTATAATATTGAGTTTTTAAACAATTATTTGAGGTATATTAATAAAATATTTACAACAATCGTAACTCGCACTTTTAAACAATTCTATAAACGTTAAATATTATAAATATCAGTTTATGAAATGTTAAATTATAATATATACATAAATTCATGCAATTTTAAGCTTTGTAAATTTTATAAAACATTTAACTATTATATATCCCTAAAATTCTTTTTCTGTGTGATACACTTTAAAACATGAAATTGCTCATAATGGAGCATAATAGTTTTTGCAATAATTGCGCCATTTTTCAGTAACAAACTCCGCCAAATGACACAAGAAAAATAACTAGATTAAGAACGGGATTGACAACATGTTTCCTTGTTGTGTAAATAGTTTTACTGTACCCTTACCGTCATCTGTATGCTATCAAATTAACTAAATTTCGCCAGTAAATATCATTTGCAATATGAATAATGCAGGAAAATATACGCGGACGAATTCAGCTCGTCAGCGCACCTTGGGGAAAAGTTTCGCTATGCGAGTAGAAATCGGCTGCAACCGTTTGGGCTGAAAAACTTTGGACAAGCTGCACTTGTAAGCGTCCGATAAATCAGATTTCGGAATTTTTGGTTTGACACCCTTCATCCTGCGGCAAAAGCATCTGTATTTGATACTATCTATCATTGCATGTTCAGTCCAGACGAGCCGTTAGCAAGATATATCGGTCATCAATTGCTGTGGTATTATATGGACGACCTTACCTTGGTCGACGTATAACATTCCCTGTTTCTTGGAATCTATTACAGGGCCTTGAAATGATGCTCTTTGCATCTCTAACAGCATCTGCTATGCATCTTTGAGTTAGTACAGATTTAAGTCTCTTCTTAAAACGCCAAGCTACGGATTCCGGTAACTCATATTGTTGTGACAATTTCAAGTCACTTTTTATCAAAATAAAAGCTGAACAATTGAATCTCACGACTGAGACAACAAAAAATGCAGCTTTTATTAAATCATGATTTCTATTTTTAAATATTTTTTCTTGTGTCTGACGTCATGAACGTTGATTAGCATATGAATTTTTGTTCTTCTGTTTTCTGCTACGCATTAAATTATAGATGTTTTACAAGAAGTTAGTAATTGATGTAAACATATTTGTGTGTGCATATTTTTGTTAAAATCATGTGTTCCCCTAATTTGTTTGAACAGGGTACATATATAATTATTAGTACATGATATGATTTCTCGTCTATGTAATTTTTATTTTAACTCAAAAACACTAGCTGTATGTAAATTCTAAGGGAGGTCTTCTTTTATTTTTTCTTTTCTGGCCTTTCCGTCCCACCGATATACTTGATTGATTTTGAATGCTCCGAGGCGTCATTTAGTAGACTGCATGCCAAATGGTTTGACTCATTTCGTCAACGGTTCATTTGTCTCGTTTCATGAACTAGAACTTATCACGTGAATTTTACATATCGCTAGTAATACACGACTTTTTAAACACGTAATTTTAACGTAGTCTTAGTCATTGAGTTTTTATTTTTAAATTTGTTAATGGTGTATATAAAAGTGTTTCGGTTCCTATTTCTTACTGTGTTGTAAAAGCGGTCAAACGATGCAAGTACTTAACGGATGAAGTAATTCAATAATTGATTTTCGAATCTAAAGATAGTGAAAGTGACGATAACTTTGAATTCAGTGAAGATAGTTGAATTACTGTGATGGTGATCCAGATTATCTTCCTGATGATAAAATAGAGATTGATCCTGATTTAGTAATTCTTTCCCCGATTCAAGAAATTGAGGGCAGTGGTGGTATGGAAAGAAGTAAAAAAAGAAAATTGAATTAGACGCTCAAAAAAAAAAAAAATAGAAAGACTTCACAAATATTCAAGATGCAAATGAACAAAGTCATATTATATTTTTGGATGCTGACTTAATAAAGGGAATAAATGATTATTAGTGGTACACGAAAATTAATGATAACAGTTAACTGAAAACTAGCGCAAAAAATATTGTTCATATTATATCAGGTCCAGTTGCAAAAGCTCGATTTCTTAAGGGCCAATTGATTGCTTTAATTTGATTATTTCCGATGTTGTAAAGAAAGAAATACTTATAGAAACGCAGAAATAAACTGAAAGAAGGTAGGCCCTGCAAATGGTTTGGACGGTTCCCTAAATAATATAAATTATGATGAACTGAATGTCTTGTTTGGAATATTAATACTAATTTCAGCTTTATAAATAACCATTTGTCAACAAAAGTTATGCTTTATGTGACTTTTTCTGGTGGAAGGTATAGAGCAGCATTCAACGCAAATGTGGAAAACCTATATGTGGAGAGCATCAGAAGTCATGTCCTTCGGTATAGGCATTTAAATGCAATTGGTAATTAATTATTATGTAAATTTATATATCAATTGTATAGATTATGTTAAATTTAAAAGGCAAACTACTTTCATTATATTTAAAATCAACATTAGTGTAATATAAGCAAAAAAAAAAATGAATTTTACTCAAGTACGTAAATTTCTCGTATCTCTAGTGATAGCGACATGTATAAACACGCTAGGGTTCTAAGCTTATATAGACTGCTTTTATAAATTTAAATATTATAGTTCATCGCAAGTTCGAAAGAAATTAAATTTTACCATAGTTTAAAGATATTTTAAGTATGTATTTGATATTAGAAGAAAGTTGTATTGAACGAAAAAAAATTATATTTAGGAAATTTTTTATAAATGTTTGTGGACACAAATGAATAGCTACTGTTTATCAAGATAAATACGTATCATTTTACATTTTATGTGTTAAAATATATAACAACCCCATTGTACCATTTAAAAGCTTTGTATATGTTTTTAAGCTTAAAATAGTAATTATTCAATTTTCACTATAATTTTAAATGCATTAAATTCACATGTTTTCATTATTTATTTTAAAAATATCTCTCTTAACACGATTAAGCAAAACATTCAAATTGTTTTAAATTTTTTTTTTACAATCAAAGACGAAAAGTAATTCTAACATTATACTAATAAATACCTCATGAACTGAACAGCACTATGTGGTTATTATTCAAATAGATTTCTGCAATGTATGGTGAAAACGTAAATTTGCTTTAGAACTTTTGATATTATTTTAACGAAATGAAACTTGAAAAGAAATTTCAAAAATATAAATAGAATATGAATAACATTTTAGCTGAATATAATATTTTCTGACAAACAAATAGCGCAGAAATATGAATTGTGCTAACATTAAAATTAAATGAAGGAAATTCATTCGGGGAGAAAAATATGATTGCATGATATGCAATAAATAACAGTTATACAATTTCTTCATCAATTAAACTTTTTTTTTTCTTTTTCAAACATTATCTTTTCTTATAAAATCTTTTGTACTCCTGAAAAATATTCTCATACAAATCTTACTTAATCCCGATACAAAAAATTACATAGATTAAAAGTTAAAGTAAAGAGTAAAAAGTTAAAATGTATTTTTAAAATGCCAAATTTCTTTATAAATATTGTCTTGCATCTTATTAATAAATATGTTTTAAGAAATACTTTTATTTATTTTTTTTTTCTAAATACGTTAGAATTTACTTTACTCATATTGGGTACATTA